AACCAGAAAAACAGAGGTAGGCCATAAAAAATGTAGCATCAGGCCATAAATAGGCAGAGGAATGCCAGAGACACGTAGGGACAGAGTTAGACCATGAAACAGATCAGCCATTAGACCATAAATAGTCAAAAGATCACCAGAAACATACAGATTTCTGCTTTAACAGAAACCATGTGTGCAGAGCTGCACAGAGGGTCTGCAGACTCAGAAATATGGAGACTGTAAAGGGAAGTGACTGAGCTTTAACAATTACAATGCAGGAAATGCTCTGATGAATACAGTGAATCACAAAACGTACACGCTGTTCGACCACAATATTCGACTGAAGCTTTAGGGCGTCATTTAAAAAAAGGTTCTTAGATTGATACTCGAGCTGAAAGTATGTTTACGGATAAAAAAACCTTCCTTACGCAGGTTCTCTATTGATTGATGGCACCTGCCACACAATCAGTGATTTCCCCTTATATAATGCTAGCACAAATGAGGGTTTAGTCAGGAATAACCACCGTTACTTCTGTCTAATTCGACAAACTATTTATAGAGCAGTGCATCTGTGTCTGGCAATTCATCATTCCTTTCAGATTGTCCATAATGCTAATGCCGGGCTGGGGAGCATCCCAAACTGCAGTACCCTGACATAACCAGCAGGAAAATCACTTAAGCGTAGGCGAGACTACTCTTTTTGACTCAGACTGGTCCACCATTATCTTCTGTCTTCACCTACAAAACCTCGACTGTCAGTGGACCGTCTGAGGATGTGGAGAGGGAGGATGGGGGCTGAGGAGGACCTTCCTCTCTGGATGACCCAGTCTGGGCAGCCCAAGTGGTCCATAGTTGGGTGGGCCTTCTGGCATTTTCCCAATTTCCACCACTGGTTCTGGTGCAGTCAGGTTATGAATTTTCCTTCTACGCTGACTTTAAGAGGGGTTGGCATTAATAAAAGAGAAATTACTGCAAACTAAATGCTAAATCTTAAACTGAAATATATAGCATATAATCCAGCTGCTCTGCCTCAACTCACTGAGATTTACAGAGTTTTCTGATGGACAGTAAAGTAACTGCTGCGACGTGTAGCTGGTGTTAGCCAGTTAGCTTAGCTGTATTTCTCAGGGCACCACATCATGCACCACACCAGACCTTTGGGTTGCAGGAGCTCCTGCTCCAAACACAATATAATACTTTATTATTTTAAATGTCTCTTTTTATCAATATCTTTCTCTCAGAAACCTGCCATAAATAACAGATACAGATAGACATGATAGGGAATTTTACATTATAACTCTGTTTGATGTTGTAATATTAACATCAGGGCAGAAAGGGGGATAGCAGCGGGAATACTGCTCCTCTTTCATGTGTTTCCCAATAAAGAAAAACCTTCTCGTTGCTTATTCTGTGTCAGGATGGAAGAGGAATATCGAGGAAATAAAGGTGTGTTTGTGATAAAACTAATAATTATTGTTTTATCTTCAACATCACAGTAGAAACTCAGTTCTTTATGAAAAATATTGGCAGGAAACTTGAGCTGAAGTCACTGAACATTTGTTGTCAGCAGGAACTCGCCACCAATCACCAAACCAGACAGCGGAGTTTGATTCAGGCAATAAGATGAATGTCTGTCAGCGTGGAAGAGGCGATTTTCTCTGCTGCGGCCCAAAATAAGAGGTTTGTTTCCATCCTGGGATCTCATGCGGAGCGGCTTTCAGCACCAGAGTTAATGTCTCTGAGATGAATGAGCTTAGAGTTTCCCAAGAGTGTATTTTTATCTTTATCCCACGACATCACAGTCCTACACACAGTGGACGTATAAATGTGCATATTGAGAGTCCCCCTAAAACAGAGTGAGGTGGAGGGGAATGACGTATTCTGAAACCTTTTTAAATAGTGGCACTAGTGTAAAAATATTTACTGTGTGACCGGAGTAAAAAAATGTACACTTCAACATATTATTACTAAATAATTCATTCCAAACTGCAGGTTTCTACTCAGCAGCCAGGAAACATTCATCAGTTAGCTCAACATATTGTTCCAGTTAGAGATACCGGTCAACAATAAGCACGCAGAAGTTGAGTCCAAATGAAGCAAATGATCCTTAACGACGTCTCATAAAACCAATCTGGCTCGCGGTTAAAAAGTTTACCTGCTCATTTATTTCATGTCATGACCTCAAAACCTGTTCGTTCTCTACTTCACTTTACGATTACTTAATATTCAGTGTTTCATTCGGAAAGAAATGTTTTAATGTTTTAGTGTCCTCACTTCACCTCATACCTGTCTCCCTTTTTCACATGATTTACTACTACGTAAATGCAAACATGGAGCTAAACCTTTCACTCAACCGCTCGGCATTTATGTACCAAACAACCTCAAATACTCAGCTGAAACAGAGTTTCAACACGCTCTCTGCTTAATCTGCTGCTTCAAAGACAAGCTGAAAGGTCTGAGAATGCAGGGATGAGCCCAGAGGACAGAAAAGAAAGGAAGCAGAGGACTGACAGACTAACACCTGAAGCGGTTACGACAAGCCTGAACCTCAGGATCAGCTGTCAGTCAGTGAGCGCAGTGCGAGGGGTTGTTCGTGTGGCTGAACTGTCCCCCATGCAGCAGGACTGCATCTGTCCCCCATTACCACTGTCTCAAGAGCCAAATTAGCTCCTGGAAACACAAAACATAATGTTGATCTCAGTCAACATGTTACTGGAGACGTTCTCTCAACCTCCAAGAGCTGAAAAGAGGAGAACATTTCAAACAATGTGATGGATGGAGCAACAATGCAGCGTTAGTTCAGCAAACAGGCACTGTTTGTTGATTCTGGACCTCACTGTTTATTTGGGATTTCATCAGTTTCCATTTTGGATCTCTAAGAGGTTTAATATCAGGGAGGGTGACATCACGGTCTGTGTTATGGAAAATGGATTTCTCTCTGAATCTCTGAGAGAGTTTGATTATTTAGTGGTTACTCTAACCACAAACAACATCATGTTGCCATGTTTCATCATGACATTGAATTGTGCCCACGACGTTGTTTGTTCAGGGGGCAAGAACACAAAAGTCCACATCAAGTGTTTTATAACATAAGTCTTGAGCTATGAGTCATGTATCCTCCAGTATCTGGCCACACGTTGACAGAAAAGTAATTTTTTAGATATTTTCAGGACTTCTTAATGATGTTTTAGAGTTTTCAATTTCCTGAAAAACAATAAATCATAAAGTTTATAACCTGAAGGTAACAGTTCTGACTCCATCAGAAACTTCACAAACATACTTTTCAACATATTGATACGCTTTCATAGAATATAAAGTATATCGATTGCTTTTCATTAGAATTTAAAATAAATTATTATTATTATTTCCTAGAAATATTTGCTTTTGTTGCACATTTTTATTGTTTTTCTGTGTGTTTGAGTTTCTGAACAGTTTTGAAAATGTAACTTCTGACTGGACAAATAAGAAAAACTGTACTGATCCTCCATTGCAATATTATTATGGCTGTGAACTAATTATTAAACGGGAAAGAAATCAAGAGTGAGAAAAGAACAAAACTAAGACTGCTGGAGAACTGGAAAAATAAGAGTGGAGATAAAAATGGGAAAAAAATAAAGGAGTGATAATGTCGGGCCAGGAGAATACTGGAGGGGATAAAAAATGAAAGTCGACGAGAGAATGATGGATACAAAGAGGAAAAATGGAGAAAGGGAGGAATGAAAAGAGAGATGAAGTAGAGAAAAGATAAATCCAAAGTGGGGGGTTATTTTAAGTGCAGAAAGTGGCTGAGTGGAGGCTACGAGCTCTAAGACAAAGAAAAACATTGTCTTGTTATCAGTGTTTACCCACAGTGCACCAGTAGATGCTGCAGTGGATAAGGCAGCAGACCATTAGGAGCTATTGACCTCTGGCCGTCTATCTCCACCCAACTGCCTGTTTACTGTAAGCGTCTGACAGATGACGGCAGAAACAGTCAACGAGAGCCGCAGTTTATCCTCCAGACAATAAATATTCTCAAGAACATCTTTAAAGCTGAAGACACGACGGACGGCAGAAGAAAACAGAGTGCTGTTACAGGACAGCGGGGAAGACAATTTTCCAAATCATCATTCGTCTTTAAATTCACAGGCAGCCACTGGTGGTGTTTCATGTCCAAACAGAGACTTTAAACCTGCTGCAGATTTACAGAGAAAAGTCTTATTTTGGGTCCAGAGGCTCTGGAACAACCAGTCTGATAACAGCATGTCACCTGAGTCAGAGATCTTTAAGAAGTCCTTTCTTAAAACATACTTCACAGTCTACAGTCTTTTATTCCTTTAAATGTTTTTATCTAAATTCTTTGTTTATCTGGTTGAAATCTTCTTTTAAAACTTTATACAAGCAGACGTCGAGTTCCTATCATTGCTCTCTCTTTCTCAAAGCAACAACCATGAACTATGAAGTCTCCCTTTCCCTGTTTCATACCCCCAAATTCAATTCAGTGTGCAGACTCCGGATCAGATTTCACAATACATCAACACTGTAGCATGAGACCAAAATTCATCTCAATCAGTCAGAGGAGATTTTAAGCAGAGAAACCCAAACACGGGCAGGCAACACGCTTCTGAAGCGCTCTCATGGGATTTGAAGACGCATGGATAGTGGAGCCAAACCACGTCACAGACATGACGACATAAAGCCGTGTGCGGTGGAACACTCTGTTCCTCTCACATCCACCGGCATCAAACCAGGAAGAGAGTAGTTAAGTTGTAAAGCCAACACCAACCTCAGTGGTTGTCGTCTGCCGTCTGACCTCAGGGGGCAGCAATGGAGCCCATTATGATTTGTTACACCACAATGACGTAAAGAAGCCACACCATAAAACAAAAAAGTGAGATTTATACTTTATAGGATGTGTTTCCAAACAGTAATTTCCTGTATCTGTAAAGGTGTGTTAATGTATGTGTGTTACACCGTTACAGCGCAATCATGGAAGAAAAACCAGAAGTTAAAGTGTGCGTAATAATTGTCTGACTCACCAGTCTCTGCAGGATCCGCTTGCTCTTGTCATCGGTGCAGTAGTCAGACAGGATGCTCCTGTGGACCAGAACCAGGCCATTCAGGAACAACCAGGAGCCGAACCAGAGCAAAGCGAACACCAGGGTCCCCCGACGGGACCACAGCCTGAGGCCCAGCCACCGGAGCAGGCACAGCCCGCCACTGCGACCACCACCACCTGACACCAGTCCTCCAGGGAGCATGGCCGCGGGTGGTCGCTGTCTGCACAAAAGTGTCCGAGGTCTCCTGATGGGTTGCAGAATAATCTGCTAAAAGGTGGTCCAACTAACGACAGAAGCTGCAGAGCTCCAGATTCACAAAAGTTTATTTATATTTTGCAAATAGTAGAAGAGAAAGGGGAATAAATACTTAATAGCTTATTAAATGAGACTCTTAATAGATCAGTCTATCAATTCCCATGTTGCATGAAGTAAACTTGATGAATTTGATGAATAATGAATTGTATCGTCAGCATATCTTGCTACACCAGTTAGGAACCACATTTTCTTTGGGCAGTAGTGGCTTCATAGCTCCCATGAAGCTCTGCATTCAGTGGGGGTCACAGCTGTAATCCAAGATCCAAGACTTTCAATCATGAAAAATGCCCATACCATCAAAGGCCTGTTTCTCCTCAGCTTGCCTGGTCTCAATAAAAACTTTTTGAAAGGACCGGAGTCCTGCTGTGTCCCCGGAAAAAAAGCCCCAATTTTTCAGAAAAATGAAAACAGCCAAAGAGAAGAGAGGTCCATAATCATCCAATCAGAGCAACACGTTCCAGACCGAGTCGACTCGTTTGCCCTCCAGCTTGGCTCCGCAGCTTCTCCGCAGGAAATATTTGGAAATTTTGTTTGTTCATGCTGGAGTTTTAACCTTTTTTATATCCGACTGGTTGATTTATTTTACGCACAGCGAGTCAACGAATGTTGAGCAACAGGAAATAACTCAGAAGTGTCCGAGTTGCCGTCTCTCCGTGTGATGTGGGTGTCTGGGCCCGTCAGCAGTGCAGTGAGGCATCTGAGTACACACACTCAAATACACAACCAGATGCATCCAGCTTCACACACACACACTCTCTCTCTCCAGCATGCACACACACTCGCAGCAGACTCCCTTGCGATGTTGTCCTCACGTCACCTCCCAGTGGTGGCTGTAGTTTTTGCAGTCAGCACGCCGCAGAAATCAGGCGCAAATGTCCCTGAAAATCATTAACAGAGAGCCATCTTCAACATATCCAACAGGGAAAAAAGTCTTTGTATTGGAAAAAGAAAAATGGAAATATCCTTCAGCGGGAGCTCTGCAATGCTGGAAAATGCTGTTTATAAGCGTCTAACAAGAAAAATGATGTCAGAATAGAGAAAAAATCTTTGTTGGTGTCAGAAGAAAACCGCTCTGATGTATGAAAAAGTGTTGAACAGTGGAAAAAGATGTCCTTGATGTTTGACAAGGAGATCTGTGACAAGAGAAAAAGAGTCAGTGCTTCAGATCTTTACTCAGAATTTCAGCCTTTTGCTCTAAAATAATAAAAAAACTCTCTTGTCAATCAATGATTTTACTCTAAAGAAGATCAGCAATTAACATTCAGAGAAACGTTGGTCATCAAAGTTTTATGAACTCTTCACCCTTTCAATATCAACCAAAACGTCAGTGTTTTGAAATCATATTGATTTTTACAACGTTGGAATTATTTCCGCTGCAGAACTTCTGTCAGACAGCTTGTCTGCACAAAAACAACCAAACTAATAAAACTTTTCTCCCAAAGATCTTGAAGGGTTCAGGAGAGGAGAGCAGCTCTGAAAGTTGTTTGATTTCCCCTCTGATGTTCTTGTTTAAAAAGATAATTATCTCTTCCATTAGCAGGGTCAGTCGAGGGTTTCTCAAAGCGGGATTTAAGCTTGTAGACTTTTAAAAGGAAAGCTTGTCAGTCACTGAGCTGGTTTTACTTTTTTAAATATCTGAAGAAAGACACCAGAACTCTCAATCAAGCAGCTCTTGAAGTTACTATCAAGCCAGTGGAGAGATGTTTCAGTCATCTGAGGTCTTTCAGTCCAGCCCTCTCCTACAAATTACATTCATATACAACAGCAAATACGTTTTCAGAGAAACGCCGACTGAAGGATGTTTTCTATGAACATAAACAAGAAAAGTTCATTAACATAAACTGACACTGAGTATTTCATTTGTTGTCCTTTAGTGACTTTATTCACAAATCTGCAGTGACTTGAGACTTACGATTTTTTATTAATTTAAATGAACGCCCACTATCAAACCCAACCGCCTCCTTATGACTCCACCGTGTTCCATAGACGAAATGTTTGAATAAAACGTATCTGAACATAATCCAGGCAAAAACAATTTAATAATACAGTAACTTAATTTCTAGGAGGCCGTGTTGCTCACTCTCTGTTTTCTGTCCCGCAGCTATAAATCTTTTTGCTGACACATCCACAATCTCTGCCGTCCAGTTATTTAGCCCGTATTACGATTTCCTGATGTGGTTGTGGCTCTACCACACTGGAAAACAGAGAGAGACTCAGTAGAAGTCAGCAGATCTCACCGCTGTCATCTGTCGCACAGACTCTCCTCAGAGATCCAGATGACGAAATCGGGCTCTTAAGATCTTAAACTAAAGAAGACCAGGAAAGGGTCGGTCATCGGCTGCTTCTTTAAACGAGTTTGTTGATGGGAATGTGGGTGGCGGAGAGGCGACAGCTGCTGCAGCTGTTCTCAAACTGATCCCAGTAGATAAAACCACATATTAGCTCTCAGGTTTGATCCATGCACTGTGTTCCCAGAAAGTACTTGCTAATTGTTTTCTCATTCCATAACACAAACATAATCTGTTATAATCAGATGGATTATACTCAGAGGCAACATTTTTTTAAATCAGATAACAGGTCGGCTAGCTGCTCAAGGAGGAGACGTTTCATCTACCGGGGACATTCACTCTGGGTCACATATCCTTTTATCAATGATGGCATTTTTACAAGCTTTTGGCAATGGGCTGCTAATTATTTTTTAATGCATTTTATTTAAAAAGGACATTTTCAGGACCGTCTTCTTAATGATTTAGTAAAATTACATAGACCTTTTTTCATCTTTGTGTTTGCATCATTTTGGATTTAAATTCAAACAGTAAATGTGTGTTTTTATTTATACTATACTGCTTAATTATTATATATATATATATTATATCTCTGTGGACTGTGGTAATTACAGATTTCTCTCCTCTCCAACACACATTATACAATATATAGTTATTTTTTGGCAACAATTTTACGACTTTTATCACATACATTGTGAAGAAAATCCCTCAATATTGGGTACGGCCATGCTCTCCAGAGGTGGCGGTACTCAAGAAGAAGTAAGGGTACTTATAGACAAAAAAAAAGATGTGCCGGTACTCAGTACTGGTGACTATTTCAGACACTGGACCGCCGGACAAACCGGTGGTCTAGCCTCCTTAACTACCGTCCTGTGTGACTGTGATGATGAAGAAAGGTATTAAAAGGTGAGGTAGGCTGAGTCATGACTGTCTTGTAGCTGCGTTTCCACCGCAGGAACTGCTGATATTTAGCTTTATAGTCGAATCGAACTAATCTAAAAAACAGCCAGATCTGATTCAACTGACAAGATTCTGAATTGAGTACAGCTTTTCCACCAGCTGTCAGGTGTCGGCTCATAGACTGGCAGAACAAACACAAAAATTAGCAAAAATCCAAATAATGCAAATGATTATAAAATGACTTTTATGCAGAACATCTCCAGGATTAGAGTCAAACAGTAGCTAGCCGGTCGTTCAGATGCAACAGGTGCCAAACTCCGCAATCCCCAAACAACCCTTCAGATCTCCTCCTACTGAGGAAAACCACCAGGCAGTTTGTTTCACTCACCGAGTCCTATAAGTGGCTCCTGGAGCCGGTCTGTGCAGCTTCTCAGGAGCCAAATCTTGCAAATTACCTCTTTCGTAGTCAGCAAATTTACAGCAGACAGTTGAAGTCCTCCGGCTGTTGGAGCCGTGGTGTTCAGCAGGCAGCTTTGTGAGCAGTCTCACAGGATGCTGGAGATCCAAAGGGTTAAACTACTATTGAAGTAAAAAGCAGAAGACGCTCTGCAATCCAGTCGCCTACAGGGTTTCCAGTGATCTGTTCACAAACTGCTTGTGGATCCTTCAGTCGTCTGGTTGGCGTTTGAAGCGATCACCAGTGAAAACCAGGATTAAATTGCTTATTTCATTGTCCAGAATAAATGATAAAACTGTTTGTAATCTGTTGTTGATTGTCCTTGAAAACCACTTCCTTTTCCATTTACCTCTTCATCAGCTCCTCATATAAACTGAAGGAGAGTCAGCAGGTGTCCAGGTCATTGGCACAGTCCAGATAACTTCTCTTTCCCATCATAAAACTGCTGAATTTCAAGTGATGATCAGGATTAACTCTGGTTTGCAAGAACTGAAATCATTTAAAATCTCAAATCTCAAAAAACTATAGACTAGACTATACAACTCTATCTACTACAGCTCCTGGAATAATTCATAGGAATGTATCCAGATTAATCCAGATTATTAAACTTCCCTTCCTCCAAAAATCCAAAATCAGGAGACATTAAATTAACTGAAGATGATGTGCAAAGTCCAGATCATTAAACTTCTCCCCCTGTGAGAAATAAATCATAAAACGGTCTGCAGGCTCTTCAGATGTCTGGTTTGATCAAAAAGTCTGAATTCTGGCACAGAGAGCTGCTGGAGGAGCAGGTCCATCAAGATGCTCTAGGAGATAAACTGTGACACTTTTCCAGCAGGAGACGATCCGGCTGTCAGACTGTCCTGTAAACCCTGATCCAGGACTGTCAGGCAGCTCCCGGCGGCTCCTGCAGACGGCTGCTGTTACGGCGGCTCTGGTCTCTTCTCACACTGCTGCTGCCTCGCTCGCTCTCTCTCTCTCTCTCTCTCTCTCTCTCTCTCTCTCAGCCTGAAGCTCCTCACTGCCTGGCTCTGTGTGTGTGTGTGTGTGTGTGTGTGTGTGTGTGTGTGTGTTCGCTCAGGCTTGTTAGTTCAGCCCCATTCCTCTTCCCTGTTCCCTTCAGTCTGCTGCACTCCCGGCTTTTTCCTTTCTCTTTCCTTTCCTACCGAGTAAGTGTGTGTGTGTGTGTGTGTGTGTGTGTGTGTGTGTGTGTGTGTGTGTGTGTGTGTGTGTGTGAGTGTAGGTGTGTGATGTTTGTGTGTGTGTGTGTGTGTGTGTGTCTTCAGGGAGTAAGGAGGCGGCTCCACCGGCGTCCCTCCTCTCAAAGTGGAGAGACTCCCCTCTCTCTCTCCTCCCCTTCACCCTCTCCTCACCCCTCTCTTATATTTACATGCTACTGTACCTCTCTCTCTCTCTCTTTACCCCCCCTCCTCCCCCCTTTTTACCCCGTTTCCACGGCAGCAAATCTCTGCTAAGGTTCAGTCCCCACATTCAGCTTCTCAGAACCTCGCCAAATTAAAATCCCCCCCCTTCCATTTATCTCACTTTCCTTTTCTTCTTCCTCCTTTCCTTCCTTCCTTCCTTCCTCCCTCTTTCTCCCCCCAGCCCACACTCCTGAGCCATACATGGCAAGCGCTCCAATAAAAACAGCTCAGAGGCCCAGGGCATGTTGGTAATTGCCCTATTTGTAAAAATGCCAATAAAGTTCTGCAAACAGCCGCTGCTGAGGCCGCTCGATGTGGGGTTGCATGTGCTGAAGGGGTGAAAAGGGTTTGAGGAGGTTATTTTTAAAATGCACTGATGTGTGTGTGTGTGTGTGTGTGTGTGTGTGTGTGTGTGTGTGTGTGTGTGAAGTAGGAGCAGAGAGCAGACTGGTAATTACTGTTTATATTAAAGCTGTATTTAGCATTTTGTGGCCATTAGAGGGCAGAAAAACATAGGCGGTCACAGGAAAAACTACAAAATATATACATTAGGTCATTTCTGTGAAGAAAGAAAATGAAATTGTTGTTTTTATTGTGATTATTATTAAAGATATAAACTCTTAAGACCTGAACACAGACTGTATTCACAGCCACTCTCTGATAAACAGTTCAAACAATCAAAGAACTGATAGAACAATGAGAAGAAAACACTGAATTTGAAGCCTATTAAGTATATGTGATTGTTAAAAATTTAAAAAATACAAAATATAGACAGAATTGTATAAGTGCCTAAAAATAGTTAATCTCTGATCAATATTCACAGGAAATAAAAAACTCATTACAATCTCTCGCTCTGTGTTCACTGTTTGTGTTCATTGTACAGTTTGTCAGCTGTTCTCTGATGTTATAGTTGAATATAATAATATAATATGTCACTAAAAAAGTGGGTTCTTTAATGGTCCAGTGTGTAAGATTTAGTGGCATCTACTGGTGAAGTTGTAGATTTTCAAATGTGTAGGAGAAACTACAGCCAAAGAACACCAGAGACGGTACACAATGATTCTTATTTTCAGGTGATTATACACTAACGAAAACATACCTACAGACATTATATTTTATTTCTGACAGTAGATCGTCCTCAGCGTTACACACTGGACCTTTAAAGGTAAAATGTTGGTGACCACTGACATGAGGACACCTGAGGAAGTTCCATTACCTTTAGATATGGTCAAAAGCTCTGGAAATAGCTGGCAAGTGAACCTTGAAATTTAGAATTTTTCAAGGTTCCCAAGGTCAGGAATGAACCTTTACACACACTTTACCAAGATAAATATTTAAAATTTACTGGTTACACCTTTAAAAATATTTATTTTATACCATAATAATACCTATAAATCTCTCTCTCCAGTCTGTGAGTTAGACTCTGAACTCTCGGTGTGTTATTGCCATCATTACCCATCAGGCCACAGCAGGCCTCCCTCTGTCACCCACTCTGTCTTTTGGATTAATGTTTGCAATCTTCGCACTGACTGCAGAAAGCAGCGAGGGCAAAGACAAGAATACAGACACAGTTAAGAGACTAGCTGGTGAACATAGTGGAGCATTAAGCAGCTTAAGAGACAGATATTTCCCTCAGGGGTTGGTGGAGACCAAAAACAGAGCTAAAAGAGAGTGACTATATTCATCAGTTGGACACAAACACAACTCCAGTGTGATTCCACTAACCTGGAAAACCTGGAAATTTTAGAGATTGGCTTTTGACGCCGCTAGGCTGACCAGATCCCAACAAACCAAATGTGGGACAAAAAGCATGTTTGTGTGGGTCAGTGTGGGTCAGTTAGCAGTGCTGAGAGGTGGTCTAAAATGCTGATATAATGTCTATCTAAACATCTGTATTCTGTCCATTGTCTCGTAACATCACTGTGCCCTCTGGTTGATCAAGCAGCACACAGTAACACACAGGTGAGGCCTTTAGCATGTGAAGGACTTCACAAATATATTTTATTTGAATACCAACTGCCCACATTCCCATGCTAAGTAAATACAATATAAAAGGAAGCTCAAGTTTCACAGCTTCTGCATCTAGACAGCTAGTGACTTTTCGGTGACTCACAGTTTTGTCCGTTGGGCGTAGCAGAGACGGTCCCATGATGACAGCCTTCTCTGCTTTCTAAACAATCATTGGATAAAAGCCAGGTTTCAGAAAAGCATACATCCTGCAGTAGTTTCACTTTTGAAAACTAGAGCCAATTAAAATATGGGACATTGGATAAAAAAGCTGTGCAATCATTGAGTAAACTAATGACCCCTGACTATATCCACAACTAGAGATTTGTATGAACTCTGAGCAAATTAATTCCTGTGAATACTGATCACAAATTAGTTTTTCTGATACAATCCTATGTTGAGATATAATCCTACTGTGTGTATTTTTAAAATTTCGTTAAATCTCTCAAAATCAAGAAGGCCTTGCAACCCTCCATGAAGCTTTGGCGACCCCTAGTGGGGGTCACGACCCTGAGGTTGTGAACCAGTGTTGTAGAACATGCTTCCTCAACTGGTGGGACCCAAAAGCAGATTGCACCTTTCTTTTTAATGATCTGACCGTGTTCCAACAAATCATAAATTAAAATGGTGAGTGCAATGTAATTATTACCGAAATATGTGAAAATTATACTCGATGTCTCTAATGAGCGACACCCTGTTTTTAACAGTGGTTAAAAAATTATCTGGTACGTTTTGTGTAGCTTGAACAAGAACAAGGCTGTTAAGTTGAAGGCAGACATGACGGGAGATCAATACATCCGACAGATTTTCTAGGAGCGACCAGCAGCTCCGGCCCGAGCAGACGGCCTCTCTGAATATTCAAGCACTCGAAGCAAGGCGCGGTTTGTCCCCGTAATTGCCAATTAAACCATCTGCTGTTGTGCAAGCTCATCTCCGCAGCGCTTTGGCAGTCGTTCACAGAGCAGCGTTCTCGTTAACATTATCCTCTCATCTGAGCCGTCGCGTTACAGTCAGCCACTTATCAGAGCCTCCTTGTTAGCCGCAGCCAATTATCTGAGGTCGCCTGTTCGGGGCAGGGACTTATCTCACAGGTACGTTAATTGACTAAAACACATATTCAGAAAATTGCTGGCTTAGCAAAAGTCTCAGAGATTCTCACCTTCATGTTTTCTGAAGTTCAGTTTGAGGTGAATTTGTTGCGCAGAAGAGAAAAAACAAACTTTGAATGCTGCTTGAATGAGGTGGGACGTGGAATTAATTATTGAAACACATGCATTTGCATTGAAGGGATTTACAGACACACACAGCTGCCCTTGAAACACTGGCTGAATTCATCAGTGTACAAAGTCAGGGAGTTCAGTTATTGGTAACACAATGTCTGCCGGGTCGCTCAGTCAGGCTGTTAAATTCACTGGAGTCACAGAGTTGTGTCGCAGCACCTCCTAGTGTCTGCTCCTGAGAATTACAGGACATTATGACATCAGGAAGCAAGCAGGGTGTTTGACTGGGGGTGGCACAACTGGGGCACTGACTTATGCAGGGGTGGCATTGAAGTATGTGTTTCAGCTTTTCAGACATTTCCCATTTAGAACCCATTTTCATTCAGATATATTGAGGTCAGAGGTCAAGGAATCCCTTTGAAAATAGCCATGCCAGTTTTTCCATCGCCAAGATTGAGCCTAACTTTGGAGTATTATTCAGCCTCCGTCCCGACATGCTAGAATGACACGGTTGGTACCGATGGATGCATTAGGTCATCTAGTTTCATATGATATCAGTTCACTCTAGATTTAAAATGTGACAGTGCAGAGTGGAAGAGGGAAGGATAATGGGGTGGTTCTCTGGAAGAAAGTGGAGGGAAGAGTTAAAGGAAATGTTTAAGGGAATAATTAACGACTACTAGAGAAAGTGGACGGTAGAGTTTCATCTTGGATGGCTGGTTGGTCAGACTGATGTTTGGGGGCATCAGTAACAATGTGCCTGTCATTTGAATTCCTACAGTAATAAGACACTGGCACATGCAGAATTTCACTACTGGTAAATGCACTTTTAACTACCGCTTTAAGCTTACCTTTGATTTTGTTGTACAACCGTGTGTTGTGTAAGGATTTCCTTGATCCTTTATTTGACTCTCCCCTGTTCTGTTTTTGCAGTTCCTAGTTGTAACCACTAGAGGTCAGTATAAGCCCATGTTCTTCATTAGCAGTAATGAGCTGTGGGTCCATGAACATCAGGGGTTAAAGTGTGTGCTGTTCTATGTTTATTAAATAAAGCAGAGTTGAAGTTACAGGGAATAATTAAGGTTCATTCACTGTGATCCTTTTGATCATTCTGAGGTTCACAAAGAAGAACTTACTCAGGAGTTCGTACTGTGTGTTTCCAAATGTCAGCAGGATGACAACCGCTCTCTGCTGAGGTCCTGGAAGTGAACTATAATCTCAGAGGGTCTGACTCCGCTGCAGACCAACAAGTTTCTATCCATTACGAGAAATATATCACGTAAAATCATCAGTACTGATTTGCTGTTTGCTTTAATCGTACATGAACAAGATAAATTGAATTTTTTCCAAATAAAAAGTATAACACACTGCAGGTCTCTGTTAAAAACAAAGGTTGTTTTACTGTATTTCATTTTCTGTATGTTTGCTTTTTTAAACCATCTTTGTTTATTTGACTGAACTCACTGTCGTAGCAACATTGACAAAAAATGTTTCACATTTAGGGTTCAAAAACTGATCATTTTCAGAATCATCCAGAAATAAACCTTCAGTTTGGGGCGTTAATGTTAAATTTAAACTGTAGACAT